TATATTTTAAAATTCATATATGAATCTTGAAGTGGTTTAAGATCTTAATTATAAGTTTTAAATTGATTCACGTACAAATTATATGTATGTGTATGTATATACATGTAGGATTCGAATATGAATTATATTAGAATTCATATATTCATATATGAACAAATGCACATCTAATTATTATTGTCTGCTAATGGTTTAATGAGATTTTTTTATGTTTGGTTACATTTCAAACGACCAACAAAAAATGTCGTTATTCGTGTTCACATATGATATTTAGGCAAATGAGATTTAATCCATTTTATATATTGTAAAATTGTCAATGATTTCAAGGTGAAAAATTAGATAAAAAGTATATGATTATCAATATTCAAAATTTGTTTAAAAAAAATAGGAGATAGATTAGGATATTTTCGATAGTTTTCTTAATTAGTGAAAAATATTTGGAAATCATTATTTTAAACTAGTGATTAAGATTGTTTTTTTCCATTGTTAAAATTTTGGGCTTTCTCATTTGAACCACACAAAATATATATATATATATATATATATATATATGGAATGGTTCAAACAATAATACATTTATTTTACAAGAACGCGGGAACATCCTTTTATTATAGAGAATCACATGTGATACTATTATTCCATCACATATGATACATATGTGATACTAATCAGAGAGGCAGACGATTTTCGATGCGATCTTGGTTGCGGGCCAAGTCGCCCTTACACTACTAAGCCCTCTCACAAGTATTATCACATGTGATAAGGTTATTGTTGATATGATACTATAATCCATCAAGACCATCACATGTGATGCTAAATCATAGATGCAGACAACCTTTGGTGTGATCTAAGTTGTAGAACACATCGTCTGCACATCACAGGGTCCCCTCACGCGTATTATCGCATGTGATAAAAGTGTTCTCGTATTCTCATAAAATAGAGGTGTTCTCGTTTGAACCTCCACCTATATATATATATATATATATATATATATATATGAGATTATTTGAGAACATATGACAACCAACATTAACAAGTTAACTTATGTGAAATTTTGCTAACAAAGTGTTTCTTACACTTCTCATAAAATTTTAATTTTCAACGGAGCCAATCCTATATAGACATTGGATCATGTGAGAAAATAGATTTTTGGTGAGAAATGGTGAAAATGCTTTTATATTGCATGAATATTGCACTATATTTTATATTTTATGAAGATGATGAAACTTACAAGTTACAGGCATGTATATGTAATTTCACCGTTTTCTATGAAGATGGCCACATCCACACGCTTTCATGCAATATAAGACCAAGGTTATATTTCTCACGGGAATCAAACCCTACATATATATATATATATATATATATATATATAGGGTTGGGTTCCGGTAAAAATGAGTGTTAAGGTGAGAAACGTGAGAAGAGATCTTCACTCTTAGAGGCACAGTAGGCTGAGATGCACCAGATCAATCCTTGTTGCAATTCATAGATGAGTTTGAGATTAAAGATGATCAATGGTCTAGATCCCTTCCTACGCTTCTCACCTTAACTCTTCTTCTTACACAATCCTTCGCCTATATATATATATTCCGTGGATTCAAAAGAGGACACCCCCCAATTTACGAACACACCTATATACTATAGTCAATCACATGTCATACTAGAAAGAAGGGCAATCTTGTCCAAATTGTGCTCACATTCCTGGTTTTAATTTTAAAATTACATCTTAGTCACATGTGAAACAGATATTCATGTTTTTTGAGGGTGTTGAACCCCTCCTCTCTATATATCTGCATCTTAGAAGGAGAGAATGAATTGTCCATACAAGTCTTGAAAGACTTGTAATTCTAGGAATCATGTGTGTACATGAGTCAATGAATCAAAGATATTTTCATTTGTTAATCATCACTTAAATTACTACACATTCATTGATGAATCAATTATCAATTAGAGCTAACTCAGGCAACTCATATGCTCGGTCTTTTCAAGAATCTATCTTCACTCACATAATATCCACAATTCAACCAAAACACAATCTGCAAAACTTGTCATCTTTCCTAACTCGAAGGAACCAACGCCAAAATCTTCTCCGCTTGATCCGGAAAGAAAGTTATGAAAAGATATGCACCTGTAAATATCACGATTTTAAACACGTTAGAAACTTGGAGATCTCCAACTCATAAATTCTCACACCATTAGGAGGAACCAATACATGCCAACGTGAAACATGAATGGGTTCCTCGTCAAAATGGTGGGACCCAATCCAATTACATAATAGAAAATAACTAGAACTTAGGTTATGGGACTTATTCTTATAGAACACCATCATCTAAAATTACAACTTACAGATGAGCACGGTCCCAAGAACAGCTGAGATTTTGCCTTGCACTTGGACCAGACCAGCCTTGCCTGCGTCTTTTAGCTCCGTAGGACCAACAACATCAAACATTCCTAAGAATCAACATAAACGGAATAAAGAAACGGTTGATGTTCTCCTAACCTTAGTTGCTCACTACAACAAAATATCTAAACCTAATGTTGTTGTAGTGGCTTCAGCATGCATAGAGAAGTAGACACATTTGAAATGAACCTGGTTTTACAGATTGGAGTCCTGATGTTACACATGCTATATTCTGGAATCCAGCTGCTTCTAGCTTGTTTGCAGCACCAGCAGACCTTAATAAACATCATCATCAATCACAAAGAAAGGAAATACAAGCTAAAAGAACTTCATTCCTCAAGATCAAGAGTTTTGGTTGATACTGATTGATGGTTTTTTGGTGTAAATAAGGTTTGATTTTCATTTTCACTCACTACTATGTCAATAGCCAACAGTATACCTTAATCCTTCTTGGCAAACGATTAGAATTTTACTATCGGGCGAGTGCTGGCTCTTCACCGACTGCACGAACTCTGGATTAGGCTTAGTATATGGCAATCCATAAAACAAACCCGAAAAGTTGTTATGCAGTTGCCTCTTGATTATGGTTCCTGCACAAAGACGAACATTTACCATGATCAAAGAAACCCCATAGGAGGCAAAGCTTGAAGCAATCGACAAGATTACTTTATATTAAGGTCCTGTTTGGCTAACTAAAAGTTTATTATCTGAAAAGCTAGTTGATGGCTAATAAGCTCGTGTTAGTTAATAAACCAGTTATATTCGGTAAAAACTGACTAATAAGTTAGATGACTATGTAAAATGACCCATAATGAGATAATAATTAGAAAAATGCTCATAGGGCTTACTGAAATGCTACTTGAGGTGAAGTAGCCTTTCAAAAAAGTGAGCTTACGGCTAACCAAACGAGTTAAGCTAACCGGCAACAAAGCTTAGGCTTTTAGGGCTCCTCTTAAGAGCATCCCGGTGGAGGTTTTTATATGAACCTACTTTTTGTACTTTTTCTTGCACCATTATATCAAACTCATCAAATTAAGAATTTATATAAAATCCAGAATGTTAATTCTTACACTTTTGTGGGTCCGATGTATTTTTCATCATCAAATATTTAATTTATACAACCTCACACACACATAAATAAAGAACTAATAAAATGTCATCTCATGCAAAGTTCAAGAAGAACTCAAAGGGGGTGAGGTCTCCACAATGTTGGTTCTCGTAAAAAGCTACACGAACATTGCATTGGAGATGCACTAAGAAGTCAGCGTAGAGTCCCTCCAAGGCCACGGACTAGCTGTTCTCCAGGTACCATGTGATTAGTTGAGGTGCACACAAGCACAAGCTTTGCCCGGATATCCATTGTCTAAAAAAAAAACAAGGTTTTTGCAATAACCTCAAACAATAAGGTAGCTTATAGTCATCATACATAGCCTAAGATTTCCTTCACCCCCTTGGAAAACAAACAAATCCTGGTGCACAGCGAAATCGATCGTCTAAACAGAAGCCTTTTCGGGTTTTACGGATTGAAGTTGTTATACCTGGATCATTGTCCTGATTTTCGATGAAAAGGGGAACATGGGTGCATGATTTTATGTGTGCTCTATCGTATTGAGTTCGATCTCGAACATCCACAATCGAGTAACCTTCTTCTGATATAAGTCTCTTTGCTTCTTCAGCATTGATATAATCAATTTCTGCACTAATTCTTAGATTTGTACGCATAATTCGAGTGATTCCACCACGAGGAGTATTAAACCTCAATGAAAATGTCCCCAAATTGCTGAAAACAGATCACAAATTGAAGAGAGTTCAATTCATAACCAAAAGCTATAATTACCAAAATCATTTCATTTTCATTCGAGAAGTCAAACCCTATTACTTTCTTAATTGAAAATTGATGCAGATAATGTCGTCCATTTGACATCAACATCAAAATTACAGTCGTAAACAAGTGAAACCACATACATTTTCAGCATAACGGAAATGGAATCGTTCGAACTTTTTTGAGGATACGCCAACTGAGAGCATATGTTTCGAAAATTGAGCAGAAAACATGGGAATTTGAAGTGGTTTTAATGGAATCTGAAGAGAAAAAAGAAGCAATGTTACCTCGTGGAAGAGAGTGCAGAGGAGCAAGAGTAACTGATCCCCGCCATTGGTGAGGAGGTGAGTGTGTCTGGATATTTCTGGAAGAGAAGAAAGGGAGTGATTACTTGTGAAGAAGCCATGGATGGCCCTCAGAAATTCAAGATGTTCAATGGGTTTCTGACACGTGGCGTTCTTGAAAATGAATGAGATTGGGTTCTTAAAACTATTAAACATTCAGAAATAAATTTTTCCTTTACACAACACTGTTTTTGGTTTGTTTGTTTATTAAGAGGTGAATCTTGTTTTGTAAAAAAAATTTGTTTTTTAATGGTTCTAAAACTTTTTGAATGATTTGGTATCATGAGCATCTTTAATCATTCAACATCCTAATTTTATTGTAAACAATAATCGAACAATTATATTTCATTTTGTATTATATCATGAGAACATCTTAATCATTATGATCACTTAATTATTCTACATCAAACTATTCAGCAACTGTCAGACAGCCCTTTAGTTTTTACAGATTTTTTTTTGAATAAATAAAATTTTGAAAACTTTAATATCGATTAAATACATTTTTATAAAAAAGGTTTAATGGTAACAGATTAGATGATTTTGACGGTTACTGAATGGTTTGGTCTAAGATGATTAAGTAGTCAGAATGATTAAGAAATTTTTATAATATAGTGTAAAATGAAATATGGTTATTTGGTAATTGTTCAGAATGAAATTATGATTCTGAATTGGTTAAAGATACCCAAAATACAAAACCATTAAGTGAGTTTTAAAATCATTAAGAGACAAACTTTTTTTTGTCAAAATAGATTCATCCTTTAATGATTTAGAGTCTAGCTCTTAATAAAACTATTAAAAGGTATTTAACAATCCACAAATATTAAAAAGTGTATAATATAATTAAATATTTACATAACAAGTATACTTTAAATAACGAATTAAAGAGGATGGTATAAAAGGGAACACACTTGATGTTCTACTTAGATAATTACCGAACAATTATCCTTTCAATGTATGCAATATAAAACAACAAATAGTTTTTCCGTTTCTATATGTTCTTTTCTTTTGATAAGAATGTTCTCATATTCTTGTAAAATGAAGGTGTTTTCGTTTGACCTCCATCTATATATATATATATATATATATATATATATATATATATAGGGTTGGATTCACGTAAGACCAAAGGTTTTTTGTGAGACCCGTGAGACCAATTTATGTTCATTAATCAACTTTATAAGCTAATGATCTAATGGTCTAAAATTGCACGGCGACAATTTTGTAATTATTGAGAAGTCTCGTGGCAATTTTGTGATTATGAATGTTGAGGTTGTAGATCTAATCCAAGGATTGAGAATTGGTCTTACGGGTCTCACGAAAAAACTTTGGTCTCATATGATCCCAAGTCTCTCTCTCTATATATATAACGATAATCAAATAAGAACCATAAACATGTAAGAACAAATATAAAAATATTCTTACATTATTATTTTTTTTAATCAAAAACTATAATTTAACATATTGTTTCATATATATATATATATATATATATATATATAAAATGATAATCAAATAAGAACCATAAACAGGTGAAAACAAATATAAAAATATTCTTACATTTTTTTTATCAAAAACTATGAATTAACATATTGTTTCACATAAGTTTGTGTTCGTCTTATGAAAAAATTGTATGTGAAACTTTTTTTTATTTACTTGGTGCAACAAAAAATACATAAAAATATTCATACGGTGAAACAAATACATGTAAAACTATCATATTATGAAACAAATATATGTAAAACAATATCTTAAATCCTAACATTTGTTATTTTATGTGTTTGTCTTTAAAATAAACTGAAACTGATGACCGATTTACAATGAAACAATAAAACCAGAAGCAACAAAACTGATGTGTTTGTATGATTATGAATCAAATTGTCTAAAATCCATCGAGAACCAATCGCACCGTATAAACTTCAAATCAAACAAGCACAGACCCACATCGAGCCGGATTCTTTAAGGGCATCCTGTGCTGTTTCTGTTGTGTGGCTCGTGTCGTGGCTATCAAGACCTGCGACCAGCGCTCAGTCTAAAACAACGGTTATCCATCGTAAAGAATGCAATCTACCATAGGCACTATCACTACATAAAATTTTAAATGTCATTTTGATCATGCTTTGGAAGTTCACAGTGGTCCATACAGAATGAAAGGTTAAAATTCTTATTTGAGTCAAGAAAACTGCTGTAAATTTATTTCAGCAAACTGCGATTAAAAACACACTACGAAAGGAGAGTATGTTTGCATCTCCGAAACAAAAACATACACCAAATATTGGAAAGGGGGGTTGATCAGGTTTCACAATCGTAAGGCGTTCAATTGGCATCAACTCTTTTCTTGGTAGTATAAGGGTAATATTCCTTTCCGGTATCAACTCTGGTGGTCTGCCCGCCAACATCAATTGCCGCTGAAGTAGCTGCAAGTGCAGCGCCAGCAGAGAGTGCTGTTGAAATGCTCTTGCCTACAAAAACACCATGCAATCACTAAACACATTTACCCAATCTTGGTCAAAAAGCAAAAAATTAAAATTTATCTTTGATCACAAAATAATTATCACTAAACACAGTTAGCTAAATCTTGAAATTCTAAAAACCAAATCAAAAGAACCTCCACCCAGGGTTGTTTCCTTGAAGACCTCTTGCTTGTGAAAAGTGTGACAAATAGAGAAAGTCGGATAAGAAGACCCCCAACTATGAAATTCTCTCGGTAAAAACTACAAGGCCTCTAATTGTTAAACCAAAATTGATCCTCACATAGGACATAAACACAATTCTGGAGAAAAAATTGGATCAGAAGTAGGGGTGCATGCGGGTTGGGTTGGGCGGTTTTTGACATTTTTACAACCCAACTCAATTATAACGGTTTAGAAAATCTCAACACAACCCAACCCGGCCCATTCAAAAGTATAACCCAACCCAATGGTTAATACGCATACTTCATAGGTTCATCTATGCAATGAAAACAGAAATTCATAGAAAGCAAACAACTTCTAAACATTTGTGGTTGCAACTTCTAGGAGCATATATGCAAGAGAAAATCATATACTAAAGTGCATATCGATCATTGACATCATACAGTTGCATGTATGATCACTATATTTATCTTTTTCCAAAAGAAATCAAGTGAATATCCCAACTCCTACAAGCTCCTCAAGATTGCTCGCCATGCATGTATCCAATATAGGTACAAAACTCATGACTAGGGGCAAAACTCATGACTAGGGACAAAACTCATGATTCAGAAGCCAGAGTAAAGTTTCTGGCTCCTGACTAGGGACAAAACTCATGCAGTTTATCAGCTGGTCAAAACATGAGCAATTCAATATTAACAGAAAATAGAAAGTAAGTAGCATAAAGTACATGCAGCCACAACAACATTGAATGTCATGAAACAAGATATAAAGCACCAAACCTATCGATTGTGTTGTTCTAGGCAATAAGCACCAAGTTAATTCATCAAATAACAGCAACATGCAGCTTATGAGACAGTCAAAATAAGCAATTCAGCATAACAAAAACGAATCTGAAATAAAAGAAAATAGCCATTTATGAGTGTCGGTCTTTGTTCCTACCCAACCTCAATCCATAATGGAGCTTGACATCATTTAATGCATAGGTTATTTTCAGCCTCATGAACTAATAATACAAAACCAAGCGCCTTCAACTTCGAGTTCCCTCATACTGAAACCCCCTTCTACCCCCACAAAGAAATTGCATTTTCCTCCCCACACAAGACAATCCATATAAACAAAATAATTTAAGAATGAAAAGCAAAGCTTCCCCCCACTAAATTATAGGTGCATGACTGATAACTCTGAAGCGCTTAGAAGAAAACATACATCAGCTATCAATCAGTTGTTTGTTCACCAATTTAGTTACCATAAGTATTCAGTCCACACTGGAGTACAACCTGGGCAGTCAATCAAACTCAAGCCCACAAATATGATAGGACCTGACAATATGATAGGACCTGACACTTCTTATTGAATTAAAATGATGATAAAACAGAACTTAACAGTTGCCCGACTTTTGAGAGATCGTCTGTCTCTTCAAACCCCACAACGCTATTAATAGACTTAACAAACAGACTACCTAATGATTTCGTTAATCCCCTTCCCAAATCAGTTCCTTAATATCAAACTAACTTTAACGCAGGCCCAGGTCCAAGAGTCTAACATAACATAACTGTCAAAGAGAAGAGAGGAGATGTGGAGACATTAAATCATAGATGAACAAACGAATAGGCATACCTGTGGATATATAAACACCCTAATGCGAACGTTCACTATTTATTTTCTCTGTGTAGTATATCAGTTGAAAATGTGCTTGATCGGCACATATTTCATTTAAACTAAAGAACCTCAGACAAAATAATTTTTAATCCATTATAGATGGGACCAGACGATTCACTTTTGACTCGCCGACAAGAACCCCATGCTTTGTCGAAGCTAATTCATCATAAACTGGGATCAGGTTTTCACAACAATGATGGAAATAAAGAATTGAAGATGATCAACCAGAAAAGCAACTCTTATCAACTAGTCCAAATTGCTAAAACTCCTGACCATGAAAATTACTATGAAAAACCTGATGGAGAACTTTCAGAAATTACTATATGCTAAATACCGAACTGCTTACAGATAAACTTGGTTTCCAACCAAATGGCATGCAGCGATGACTAGCAATCAAGGTTGAATTATTCAATGGCACACAGCTTCAGACCAATCTTTATTGCTGTTTATGGTTATATCAGTCCTAATCTGGAAGCTTTAAACCACCTTAAGAGTTAGGACATATAAATCCCGCAATAATGTCGATTATATGCTAGTAGAACTTTAACCACCTTGCTTTTCCAAAATTCTGAATGGTGGGCAATAGAACCCATCAGCTTCAAGTTGTGACAAATCTCCTTTTCCCAATATAAGAAAGAGAATAAACAGGGGTTTGAATACTTGGTTAAAAGTAATAAAAACTGTTAAATTAATAATCTTTATAATGCATCTCTCCAATTATCTTCAGATCAAAGTCTTCTAACAGCTTGCATGACCTGACACAAGATTGCTCTTTACACATCTCTGACTCCCCTATATTCTATTTACAAGTCACATGAACTTAAAGATACCCCAAATCCCCAATGACAATTTTATGCAAGTAGCATTATTTCTTCTGCCAGCACTTGGTAATAAAAATATAAAATCAAGCATTCATAAATCTTAATACAGGTAGGTACCACTGCTTATGGAACAGGATTAACTGCACAACTTTTCCTGGTTCATTGCAACTTTGTGGGTCAGATTCATAAGAATCATTTACCATTGCTCTCTGCCACTATATATATGCCTCTTTAAACAAAATTTTTTAGGGATTATGATAAGCCGTTGGTTATAAAGATTCGATTTTTTCCTCCCGGGGAGTGTATTTTCCTATAGTAAGCATGTGACATAAGTGAAAATTAATGAATGGTACCAATTCCCAGATATGCCACAAAGTGAAGTAAACAAAATAAAGTAAGCAATGGACTCTCCATAAACATACAGACCAAAAAAATAAAGGAGTTCAAACTCATAAGCTAGCAAAAATATCATCACGCAAGAGGAACTGAATATCCATACATTACATACAGACTTAGGTGAACAACAGAATGCTAACCTTTAAAGCCGAGAATGGCAGCACCAGCAACGAACCCACCAACTGCTCCATTAACAAAGTCTCTCTTCGTTCTGTAATTCTGTGTCAATTGCTCTACACCAATGTAGACTCCACCAATTGCAGCAAAAGTCAATCCATGGTTTCCCATCATCTTTAATGTCCTAATCAGACCCGGTAGAGCAACATTTCTCTCAACACGAGGTACATCCAACCAGGTAGCAACTATGGTACCCCATATAGTTCCAGCAGCCAAACCAGTTGCGGCACCCTTCATCGTTTTCGTCATGGATGAATCTTCCTCCTCCAAGTATCTACGGTCTGTAGTATCCATAGCTATCTACCAACTGGAAAATCCATTCACAAAGTTGAACAAACATAGCATTTTTGGGGTTCAGGGAGAAATTTTAACATTGGCATCTGGTAAGGCTTTGCACAAAAAGCCAGAACGTTAACCATATATCAGCAACATGTTTATAGATACCTTAATTCTTTGGTCGATCAATTCATTAAAAATAACATTAGATAATTTAATTAGCCACAAAAGATCTTGGAGGACTATATTCGCTCTCCAAATCATCCAAATTATTAATTTTTCCAACTCGGTAACAATCAATCTAATTCGAAATTTCAAGATCACAGCCTTTGCGTTTTTACCAATCCATTAAAAACCTTGGTCTTGTATCACACAACATTTGGCAGTTCCAAAACACCCAATTGCATATAAATGGGAATGGAATATCTTCCAGTACATTATCATATCTTCATTAGATACATCTATAGAAAATAAAACTAAAATAACATAAATCAAAGCACAATTCTAGGTAACAAGCTATTTCACGTACTTAAAATGCTAACCCTAGAATCAAATGTACCGACGGATGCATCCGTTCAAGTTTGATGAAAAAGATTAGAGGGAGATCAGTAGATGTGGTGTGTAGGGAGGAGGATTAGATTGCTTACCGGAGTGGAGAATGCAGAGTGATCGGATTTGCAGTGATCGCAGGGGAAGAGACGGACCGATACTGATACGGGAGGCGTTGCGTTACTTCTGGATTTGTACAGTACGAAGTAGGAACCCTGGTTAGGTAACGTTAAGTTACACCCTCACATATATAACTTAGTTCATTTAAATTACATTATTGGTCCTTATAGTTAACACTTGCGATCAAGTCTCATCCTTATTTTGAAAAAACTACACTTCCATCAAGTCTCATCCTTATTTTGAAAAAACTACACTTCCAATCACTAGGATTACTAGGTCCCTTCGAAATAATCCCCCTTAGAAAAAGTTTGTTACCTTAGAGGTATTATAGGCGTGTTTGAGATTGCTTATAAAAACAACTTATTGACTTATTCTAGTGTGGTACGGATGATAAGCACTTTTGAGTGTTTGGATAAACAACTTATACTGGTACCAAACCGGTAATAAGGAGTTTCTGAAGAAGTTAAAACATTCTAACTTATAATAAGTTGATAAGCACTTTTGTAAAAAGCATAACTTATAATGGTTTTCCGAGCTGAGGTACGTAAGAAGATCGAAAACTACTACAAACGAAGTCGATTTACAAGAGGGTTGGATGTCATCTATCTTGGCTGAAGGGTATGAGTTGGATTCAGAGAATGGTTGAACCAGAGCAACCTCATCGTTAGGGTAAGAAGGGGTTTGACCTAATCATCAAATTTTACCCTCTCCTGCCCTCACCTTCGTTCCCCTTCTTCTTTTCCTTCCTTTATTCTTCAAGCATCTCTGTAGCCACCTACAAGGTCACAACTAGGGGTGCACAAAACGTCCAACCCGACCCAAAATAACCTAACCCAACCTAACCCAAAAGCCATTCAATACCTAATCAAATCGTAAAATCTTCAAACCATAGATACTGGGTTGGAATTGGGTTAAGGGCCATTTAAAACCAACCCAACCTGATGAATAAGATGTCTTTTTATATCTCCTTTATAATTGCTAGCCTTGTTTGTATGCTCTTATTTTCATTTTGTTTCAGTTAAACACAATCGCTTAGCTAGATTGTAAAATGATGTACTAAAATTTCAACCCAACCCAACTTGTATGATTCAGATTGGGTTGGATTGTACTTTTCTTTGAGTTGGTTTGAGATTTTTCAAACCGCAAATTATTAGAGTGGAGTGTTCAGATGCCTTCAACCTGACCAATACAACCCGTGTGCAGCCCTACCTGCGACCTCCATTTCTAACCCTTGTCCTTTTCTTTTCACCTCTGCCTTTTTATCTTGATTTCGATATCAATCCTATTGCAAAAACTCCACCAAACTTCACTTTTCTCGCTGGATCTCAAATCTAAAGAAAAAAAAGATTAAAAAGACTAAGATACCTCTGATTTAATGGATCTTTTAATGAAAGTTAGTCAGAGAAGCCAAAAGTGTAACAAAATGACTACCGTGGTGACCAAAAGTGTGATTTTTTAGAATAGCAACGAGAATTGATAGTGAATGTCAACCATATGAACCACAGGTATAATTTACTTTTAATTTAATAAATAAATAAAAAGACAAAAATGAAATTAGTTCGGTTTTTGTCTTTATTCTGAAAAATCAACTCACAAAATTTTCATTTAAGATATTCAGTGAATAAATATTAAGGAAATTAATATAAATAGTCATTTTGGCCGACTAAGGGGTTGTTTACCAAATTTTCTATTAAGTCATGTATGGATAAATTTGTCTGTTTGTATTAAATTGTTTATCTACATAAATTTATGTTATTGTTTACTTTTCTATCTGAATCAACAATCTGAATAATAGAAATTACCAATTTACCCTTGAGTATGAACTAAACCGAATGAATAATCAAACAACAAGAAATCGATTTTGAAGAATCTGTGCAATATTCGAACAACAAAAAATCGAATGAAATAGCAATCGAACATTCAAACAACAATCAAACTATGAGGAGATATACACCGAAATCAAACAACAACATTCAAACTGGCGTGAATCGAATTAGGAGGAGATATACAATCGAACAACAATCTAGTTCGGTGAAAGAAGTCAAACTAGGAGGAAAAATCGAACAAGAAGCAATCGAACAGGCAATCAAACAGGCGTGAATCGAACAACAATCCAGTTTGGTGAAGGGAAATTACCTTTAAAAAGATGGAACCAACACCGTGAATCGAACAACAAGCAATCGACCAGGCATGAATTGAACCAACATCGTGAGTTTTGAGCTGTCTAGGGTTTTTTCAAGCAATCAAACAACAAGCAATCGTCGCGTCTAGGGTTTTTCAAGTTACGCGTGTTATTTAGAAGGAGGGGTAGGCGGATCATTTTTTTGAACTGAACATGGACAAGAGTGGTAATCCATATGAGTGAATAAGTCAATTTTTGTCCGAATAAGCCATAAGTAAACATCATAATTTGGTTGTGCGAATAAACTCTTTCACCCATTAAGCCCATTAAGTCATAAGTAAATACCCTCTAAATTTACTTGTTAGCTATTTCTCTCCCATTTTTTTTTAAACAAAATCACCATTTCCACAAGTAACCATTCCTCAACTTGCGAAGAGCCAAAAAAAAAAAATTAAAAAAAAAATTCTTGATGGGTCTGCAAGCAGCACATCCACAAGTTGCAGATGTGCCACATGTTAGCACCATGTTAAAGACCCTAATCCCATGTGAGCTTTGACCAAATTTGACAATATGCAAGTTTGACCATGTTTGATCATCTACAATTTTATCTAAAAACCTAATTTTCCACGTTTTCAGATATGTTTTAATTGTGATATTTTTTCAACAATAAAATAATTTTGATTCCAACTTGTATAGTAATCATACAATTTATTAATGTATTGATTGGTGATTTGATACAATTGTATTTTCTAATTTGATATATGAAAAAATTACGTTACATCTTCGTCCTGGTGGTTCATTGGTGAAAGTAAATGATGGGTGGCAGTATATATCTACTAAAATGATACACCGTGTTGTGATATTGTCCACAAACATTACACATCTGAGCTCGGTTATGTATGTTCAGAATCTTAAGATATATAAATGGGGTGTTTGAGATTGTTTATAAAAACAACTTATTGACTTATTTCGGTGTGACACATGTAATAAACAATTTTGAGTGTTTGGATAAACAGCTCATAACGGTGTCAAATCGATAATAAGGAGTTTTTGAAGAAGTTAAACCATTCTTACTTATAATAAATATTAATTGTAAAAACTATCATAATTTTATATAAAACCTCATCAACCAGATCAACCCAACCCAATTTAACGTGAAATAACTCAATCTAAAGTAACCCGATATCTAATTGAGTTGTAAAATCTTCAAAACATAGGTTATTGGGTTACTTTTATTTGAACTCATATCAACTTAATAAACCCAATATCATTTTATTTCTTGAATTTAATATGATGATTGAATCTCTATTAACATGTATATTAGACATTTAAACCATCGCGTATCCTCTTCATATTCATATATATGTTTAGTAACTGTGAACACACACATACACACATATATATAGAGAGAGGTGAGTTATTATGCAACCTTTTACATTTGTACAACCAATATAACTCAATCTCAACCGTCCATTTAGTTTGATGAATATGTGATTTCATAAAAGTTTTGATTGTTTCCTAATATAAATATTGCTCATAACTAACAAGTCATCTTTCATAAATATTCAAATTATAATAAATGAACTCTCATCATTTTCATAAATATCTCAATTGATTGAGTTGCATTGATTGTACAAATGTGATAAGTTGCATTTGAAATGTCATATATATATATATATATATACACACACATATATATACATACATATATGTATATACAAATTGAAAAAATTAATTGAAAGTGAAATACTTGCAATTTAAGAAGTACAGATAAATTGTACGAAATCTTTGATGATGAACAAGATATTATGAGTAAACTAGAGAATACTTTTGATGTACTAAAGTATCAACCCAACTAACCCGTTATGGTTTATTTATGGTTTATTTATGGTTTATCAACCCAACTAACCCGTTATGGTTACACTTTTGAGTTGAGTTGGGATTTTTCAAACCGCAATCATTGGTTTGAGTTGTTAAAATGCCTTCAACCCGATCAACCCAAAGCTGAGGCATCTTTTCATATCACACGTATAAATACACCAAGGCTAGTAAGATCATCCATCAAGTTTTAGCAAAGCATGCCATAAACACAAGATTTATAGGCAAAGAAAAAGCCAAAAGCTTCAAATTCAGGTTAAGTTCCTTATTATTTAGAACAAAGGGAAAATCAGTTTGGAAGTCAACACAGCATAAAATGGCAGTTATCTTCAAAGGAACAAACAGATTGCACTTAAACCATTAGCATACCACTCAAAGTGACCAGTCGATATGGTCAGCAGACGAGTCGTATCGCCTTCCACCTTGTTGACCGAGGCCAAGCTCACCAGAGTAGCCTGACTGCGGGATCTGACCCAAACCCAAATGGGCTTCATTGGTGTCGTAACCCCAAGCCGTGGTGTTGGCGGTTGAGAAGTGACCATGAACCGGTTGAACCATGGGTGCACCAGCATCAGGGTTGAGATAGTACTCAAGGCTCAAGGTTTGGTTGGTTGAGCCTGATGAGTGATTTGACAGAAGAGAGAGAGCACAGTTGGAGTCTTGGACTCCATTGAAACATCCTCCTGGAGGAACATTCGGATTGATGTAAGGCGGTGGATTATCCAAGCTGCTTTGCCATGGAAGTGGAGGCAATTTTTCAGTTGTGATCGGAAGATCATTGGTGGCACGTGGTGGTGTTCTGGTGGTTGGCCACTGAACACTGGCAGCACGAGGTGGTGCTCTTGGGCATGAAGAAAAGTCCATCAGAAAGCTTCCACCATTGCCATTGTTTTCTGTCATTTAGTTCCACAAAGAAGCAGTAAGAAAGAAACTTCTATAACCCCATGTTTAAACGTTAACCATCGTAAAGAAAGAATGAGTGTCCTTGCGATGCAACGGAATGTAAAATTAACTGTAAACCGAAAATTGAAAATGATCAATTGTGTGATGGGGTTTCCAAAAATCTCAAATATTCTGTCGTTTATTTGGTTGATTGACATTGTATTGGGGAACGGCAGTAGAAGGAAATGCGATCTAACCAAAGATAGAGGAGGGAAGACTTCCATAGCGAGTGGATAGTAGAGATCCAGATGTTGGCTTCCTCCGACGTTCATTGTGCCCGGCCAAGCGCCTGCGGCAGCTTCTTTTCCCCTGATCAAACTCCGGTAGTTGATGGAACCTGCAAAGAGGTCATCAGGGTCATCGTAACTTGCTATTTCCTGTATGTAATTGTTTGTTCTAGAGTCTTGCTAGTTCTTTAATAAAATCTTGCTGTTGTTCAAAGGAAAAAGGCAATAAGGTTTGAGCCTTTAGGGCTTAGGATTAGTCGAGGTGCACACAAGCTGGCCCGGACAACCATAATTACCAAAAAAAAAAAGGGAGCTCCTTGTTCCGCTAGATGTACAAAAAGACTGAACCCGTAAATGTAACAAAAACCGATTGAGATGACCATACCATCTGCCTTAAATTCTTCACATTGTTGATGGGTAGTTTACACATTTGACCAATAATGGAATAGTCTAACTAAAATAAAGGGCCATTTACCAAACACTTACAATGCAAGCATTTACCGGATGTCACTTACTACCAAGAATCTTACCCCGGAATAGGCATAGAATGATCTTACCCGGTTAGCGCTTCCCAAATAATAGACGCTTGTCAACAATCCACTTTGATGGCCAAGAATGTTAACCGATAAGGTAATTGTGGATGGTGACTCTTCCCGGTAAACGCTTATCCACGGTAAGCGTCCATAAGGGTGGTGCCTGTTTGGTTTGAGCTTGGCTCCAATGGTCAAAAGTGCTTGGAGGTCCCAAGGTTCAAATCCAAAGGAGGAATAAAAATCCTCTTTCGACTAGTATAGCGGGTTGGATATCCAGTTTAATCCAAAAAAAAATATATAAAGATCATAACAAACATATAATTCTATCATGTTTTTTCTCAATTTGCTCAAGATCTTGTATCTTAGTTCTTGGCATTAGATCTTTACCAAAGAAATATACCAGAAACTGCAATATGTTACTCTTCATCTAAAGACCAAATGCCTGAAACAACACATGATTGACTCTTTCAACCATTGCAAATGGGCAGATTACAACCCAAGGATTTGAGCAATCATGTATAAGAAGAAGTGCAGAGAAATCTTGAAAATGGAGTGTGTCAACAAACATATACATACAGAAACAAGTGTATCTATATATATACAAAGGAGGTGTGTATACATTTGATGGATAGCTAGAAAGATAGATAGACATAAAAATGGAATAAAAAGCAATAAAAAAATGGAGAGATATTTGGGAGGTTTACCTGCTGCACTGCTGGCAGAACCTCTGCTCAAGGCCATTAACAATGACCTTAGCTGTTTTGGAGTGAACACCACACACTTTGTGCCTTGAATAGTATGTTTTAGCATCACTCAGATCCAGATTACACCCTTCCACCTGACACCTAGGTGGTTGCTGACCCTGTCCCAAACCCACCTGACCACCGCTGCTACCAGTTCTTCCTTTCTTCGGTGGCCCTCCACCACCTCCACCGTCGCCGCCGCTTCCCACCGGAGACAACCCACCTTGGGATTTGGTCTCAGCTCCAACACCCACATCCTCAAAGTAGATTTCTTCCCCAAATTTAAGACCAATTTTGAGCAGCTGTGACTTGGAAGAAGAACTAGAACCACTCATCTCCATAGTCTTTCTGTATCTGCTGCCCCCTTTTGTTAGTTGTCGAGCTCAATCATGATCTTTTGTGGGACCAATCCCAAAAGTACTGTTGATAAGGTTTAAAAGCTCGATTATAGAAGAGAGAATATATGTATATACATGGATACATACATATACATATACATATACATGATGATGATGACGATGAAGATGATATGTGTAAGTATAATACAAGAAACAGAAAAGCAAAGAAAGATGAGAGGGTACTGATGTTTTGACAAGACACTTGTGTCCCAGCTGATGATTAGCTTTTTGACAAGAAAGTTTTGGAGGGTTGGAGACTGGATTTTTCTGGGGGTTTAGGGTGAAGCAAGGGGCTGACAATGACAAAGAAGGGGGGGCATCCACATTGGCAGATAGAGTTAGGGATTAATGGAAAGATGGGAGTTGTACTTGGTGCTAAATGAGTGGTACCCTGAAAGAAAGACTGGTAAAATAAATGGAGCAAGAAAAAGATGGGAAGGAAGGTTTGTAGGAGGTCTCAGAAGCTTTACAATAATCCTTTTATGGCGACTGTTTTCTGTTCTAAACAAACCATTTTTCTTTTCATTTTCCTCTTTGGGAGCATCACCACAAATAATGGGTAATGTATTCCAACACTAAAATCACAGTTTTGGCCCTATCCACTTTCCTTATGCCACCCAACTTTAAAACCACAAACATCCTACTCATCTATTCTTTTATATATATATATATATATATATATATATATATATATACATACATATATATATATATATATACATACATATATATATATATGGCTACTTTAATTTACAACCACTTTAAAACTTACCGATTCTTCGTGATAATGAATAAAAACATGAAATTTGTATAAATTCAATATTATATTTTTTAGTAGGTAAAATAGACAATCTAACAAATTCAGACGTTTATCAGGTTACAAAAACAAACTGTATTATTGATTCAGATTTCAGACTTCAACACTATTTCTTATAAATCAAAAGTGAAATAAGATTTCAGGCTTCAACATCTCTTAAAAACTGATGTCACCTTATAAATGAATGGTTATTAGGGCATTTCCTAGTTTTTCATTTTTGCGGTTTTCCCTCGAACTTGATTCATATATGTGTGTGTGTGTGTGCGCGTGCACGCATGTGTACTTTTGGTATCCATACATGATAGGACATAATAGGATATGACAGAATATAACAATTGTTCAACGTTTGGTGAGACATAAATGAAAAGAACATAATATATAAAATGACAAATTTACCTTTAATGAGTTGTTTA